TTCCCCCCCCCAAATTGCTCTATTCGAATCTACCTATCTCACCTACCTACCCACCTACCTCCAACTCCCTTTGCTCTTTCAGGATCAAAGACACGGCATAGCTTCTATCGGCTTCCGGTCCGGCACCTACCCTACCCTCTTAGCAACCCTGTTCGCATCCCGGTCGCCCAGCAGGTTGCTAGAATGGCAAAGCTTCGCGTCGTCGACGCGCTCGAGAGCCGCGTTGTAACCGCCCAGGACGGCGCCTTTAGCCAGCCCAGCAATGTGGCAGCCCCTTCGCAGCCATTGTTGCCATTGCTGCCATTGCCGATCATATTGAAGTAGCGCAGAGCCTGGCGTTTGATGCTCGCATCTTGTACGCTGAGCTCTCCGCCATCTCCTGCCCACACGGGGGTGCTAGATCAATCAGTCTAAGTTGCTTTCCATCTGGCATCTCAAAAACGAGAGTTCCATACTTTTCGAAATCGCGATTGGCGATGAGTGATTTCAAAGCATGGCCGGCTATCTCATGCTCAGGGTTCTTTCTGAGGAAGCTGAGCACTAAAAGGTAGTCAAGGCGTTGCAGCTTTCGTTTGTGATTCCTTAAGCACCGGCATTTCAGGCAATAACGAGCCCTGCAAAGCGGCACCGTTAAAGTTGTGTTCGACTCTGCCATCATTGATTTATTCCGATGATGTATAAAGAAAGAAACGGTGAGCTCTCATTCTGTTGCGTTAGGAAGATCACAATGTCATTTGTGAGCTTGTCAAATCATGGAATTACCTAAGACGTGCAATCGTAGCTTGTATTATAGAGTAACATGGTAAAACACAATTGAGCAGCACGATATTCCATCAACATGTCCAGTAAACCTTTGCAAAATGGCACACACAAACGCAGCGGGCTAACTATGGAACGTGATACTCGCTGAATAGGTATAATGATATGAATAGCGGCCTTTTATGAGAGGTCAATAGACAACTCGAACCAATTGCGGTAGCTAAGAGGCTTGCCGCTCCCGAATCCTTCTACGAAGCCAGCCGTTCGCTGCATCAATGTTCTCGACGAACCTTGCAAGCTTCGACCTCTCAAAGTTGATGTCGAGAATGGTCGTCACCCTACTCTTAAAGTCATCTAGCCTAGTAATCTGCTGGAGGCTGCGCTTGCAATCCTTCAGCCCAGCATTCAAACCCTCGCACGCCGTCATTGCAGTGTCTTTGTGGACCGGAAAGCTGTCTATGAAGAGCGTTGGAGGGCAGGTATGGACGCTGTAGCGCCTGGCCGCGTTTCCAACGGCGACCGAAACAGGCCCTGTTGCAATGGAATGAGCGTGTTAGATATTTGCAGAGCTGGGAAACTCACAAGAAAAGGCGGGAACAGTGCTCGAGCTTTGATGTGATATTGGACCTTGGAATTAGAGCAGCGTGCCAGCAAGGATTACAGAGCAAGGATGATAGAGGGGAGCAAACCATGGGGGCCGCTTCTCAATGAGCAGCCGACTTCAATTGAAGAAGGAAATTGCGTACCTGAGTGAAATCGGTCGACCAGAAACAACATGTGCTTGGCCAACCCCGGCAGTCGGTTTAGGAACCATTCCTGGAGCTGACACGCGCAGTCCTCCACCACAGTGAGCCCCTTGAGAGCCTCCAGAGAGTTCCGCGTGGCGAGCACGGTTCCAAAGTCGCTGACGCTTTCAGCTCCTTTCATGTAGTGGTAGCCGAGCGGCGCGCGATGGGGGCATGCCAGAATGAAGAGGCCGACCTGCATGAATCAAGATGATATGTGTTAACCAACAGCGTTCAGTTGAACGAGTGTCACAAGACAGTTGAGCAGCGCAAAGGACCATGTTGACACGATACCGTAAATCAAGTGAAAAGGATCCAATCGTTTATATGCTAGATAAAAGCGGCTGAGCTTCTAAGGCTCTTACCTGACCCTTCGTGTGGGGCTTCTGCGGAAGCGCGCAATGCCTTTCCAGCTTCTCCTTGCTGGAACGACCTTCAGCGTTCTCCCAGTCGATAAAGTGGGGCCGCTCGAACAGCAATGGATGGAACCCGTAGGCGCTCGGGCGCTCGACCTGATCTCTGTACTCGCTGGACGCGGGTCGCAGCGTGCCATCCCTGTAGTAGGAGGGGTCCCGCACCTCGAGCTCCTCGAGCAAGAGCTTGGCCCGTTCACAAAGCCGCGCCTCTTTGGCTGTGCACTCTTCTCCTGCATCGCCGTCGGTGTCAACTCCCTCGCCAGTGAGCCCCCACATGAAGTCCGTAGCCTCGACGAGGCATTGGAGTGGGGAGGGAGTGGTCGCTCGGCGCAAATTCGCAAAGGGCTCAAAGGCGAGCAAGTTGGTGCAGTAGATATCGCGCATGAGTGGAAGCAGAGCCGGGGGGAAGGCGTACTGCCTCATATTGCCACCCTGGCCGGCCACGTGGACAATTGGCAACTGCGGGGAGTGGAACTCCAAGACGGCAGCGATCATGGGCGCGTCGTTGCGGAGGTATGCCAGCTCGATGTTGTTCAGCGCCCGGCCTCCAAGGAGCAGCCGCCTCATGAGCTGGAGCCCTAGAATGCGGCAGTAGATCCACGAGTAGTCCTTGGTGAGCAGGCTATGCACCAATGCGCCTAGATCATGGAAGTGACCAGAGCACCAGCCCGTGAGAGGAACGACCCCGTCCTTGAGATAAGGCGTCATCCAGGGCCTTCTGGGTGCGCGCGCGCATGCGGCGCAGTTCGCTGGGCAGGGGGGCTGGGGGAAGGCTGCTAGATCCACCAGCGCTCTGA